ATTCTGTTGTTTTCCTCTATTTCTTTGCATTGATCCATGAGGAAGGCTTTCTTATCTCTCCTAGCTATTTGGAACTCTGCATTCAAATGGGAATATCTTTCCTTTTCTGCTTTGCTTTTCGCTTCTCTTCTTTTCATAGCTATTTGTAAGGCCTCCTCAGACAACCATTTTGCCTTTTTGCATTTCTTTTCCATGGGGATGGCCTTGATCCCTGTCTCCTGTACAATATCACAAACCTCCGTCCATAGTTCATGAGGCACTCTGTCAGATCTAGTCCCTTAAATCTATTTCTCACTTCCACTGTATAATCATAAGGGATTTGATTTAGCTCATACCCTAATTGTCTAGTGGTTTTCCCTACTTTCTTCAATTTAAGTTTGAATTTGGCAGTAAGGAGTTCATGATCTGAGCCTCAGTCAGCTCCTGGTCTTGTTTTTGCTGACTGTATAGAGCTTCTCCATCTTTGGCTGCAAAGAATATAATCTGTCTGATTTCGGTATTGACCATCTGGTGATGTCCATGTGTAGAGTCTTCTCTTGTGTTGTTGGAAGAGGGTGTTTGCTATGACCAGTGTGTCTGTTAGCAGAACTCTATTAGCCTTTGCCCTGCTTCATTCCGTACTCCAAGGCCAAATTTGCCTGTTACTCCAGGTGTTTCTTACCTGAGACTAATCCCAAACCAACAATCTCTGGGCATCAGAAAGTTTCAGAAGCTTCTCAGATGATTCTAATGTGTAGTCAAAGTTGAGAATCACTGTGCTAGTCATGGTTCTATATCTGGGGAGTTGTATCTGATCATACTCCCCTGTTTAAGATCCTTCTGTGACTTCTGGTTGCCCTTAAGATAAAATTTATACCCACTATTTTGGCTTATGAGGCATTTCAGCTTTACTGAAATGCTTTTGTTTCTTCAAATGTGAAACACTATTTTTAATCTCTGACTTTCGGCTACATTCTCTCTTCCTCTGTCCTCTAGCTGAGTCCAGTTTTTCCTTCAGGTCTCAGGCTAAGTGTTTATTCATCTGCAAAGTCCTTTCTCCAGTTGGGTGCTCCTGCCGTGTTCCCCAACACCCTGAGCTTCCTTTATCATAGCAGTTACTGTGCCTTTTTAATAGTTCATACTTGATGTTCCTTCCTCTGTCCTTTCCCCTGCCAACTAGACTTTGAAATTCTTTGCTGGTTTTGTCTTGTTCACTGTTGTAGCTTAGTATCTGATGCAGTGCTTCTAATGTAGTAAGTACCTAAAAAATATTTGTTCAATCCCACTCCTGGGCATACACACCGAGGAAACTAGATCTGAAAGAGACACGTGCACCCCAGTGTTCATCGCAGCACTGTTTATAATAGCCAGGACATGGAAGCATAAAAAAAAAAGAGGCAGCTATGAATGTTCTAGGCCCATATTTAATAAAAACCAGAAAGCTGTTGTTTGAAGGAAAAAAAAATATTTGCTCAAAGAGGAAAGAATGTTCCTTTTCCGCTTTTGATGTTTTTATAAATTATAAAAATATTTGTATGCTTACATCTTTGCAGATATTTCTAAATCTCTTTCTATTAATAAGGTCTGAGAAATGAGATAATTATTTAAGAATGTATGCAGTAGTGTAGTGTTTATGGTTAGGGGCTGTGGGGCAACAGACTTGGGTTTGAATCCTGTCAATACCACTTCCCTGCTGTGTGATCTTTTTTTTAATTAATTAATTTTAATTGGGAGGCTAATTACTTTACAACATTGTGGTGGTTTTTGCCGTACGTTGACATGAATCAGCCATGGGTGCACATCCCCAACCCCGCTCCCACCTCCCTCCCCATCCCATCCCTCTGGGTTGTCCCAGTGCACCAGCTTTGAGCGCCCTGTTTCATCCTGCTGTGTGATCTTAAACAATTGCCTCATTTTTAAAATCTGTAAAATTAAAAAAATAATACCCATGAGTTTCTTAAAAGGATTAAATGAAATACTGCATAGAAATTATTTAACAGAACTGGTGCATAGCAAGATTTCAATATATTTTAGCTTTTAGTCCTCTCATTGTAATACAAACTTTATATTTTCATATATATTACCAAGTTATCCTTCATCAGAACTTCCCTGGTGACTCAGATGGTAAGGAATCTGCCTGCAATGCAGAAGACCTGGGTTCAGTCCCGGGGTTGGGAAGATCTCCTGGAGGAGGGCATGGCCACCCAGTCCAGTATTCCTGCCTGGAGAATCCCCATGGACGGAGAAGCCTGGAGGGCTAGTCCATGGGATCGCAATGAGTCAGACATGACTGAGCGACTAAGCACAGCGCAGCATCCTTCTTAAAGATTGTACCAATTTATACTCCCCCAAGCGAGTGTGAATGTCCATTTCTCTATTTCTTATTAGCATTTTCTATGACAGTACTCGTTCATATTTGCTAATCTGGCAGATAAAAAAATTTGCTTTGATTGGCAGTCTTTCTGTTGTTAATGAGGTTGAATAGTTGAGTATCATGTATGTTTCCATGACATTTGCAATTTTTTTTTCTTTTTTTGTGGATTGCTTTTATATTTTCTGTCCATATTCCTTTTGGGATGTTTGATCATTTTGTTTTATTTATTTTTTTGATCATTTTAATTTGGGATTTTTAAAGAGCTTTGATGCATTAAGGATATATTTACAGTAAATAATTTTTCCACTTGGCTTTTAATTTTACTTAATGATGATGTAGAAAATTTTCCATAGTCATGGTATTTTTCTTTATGATATCCATCATTGTTTCAATATTTTTTCTAATTTTGAAGTAGAAAAGTCTTATTAAAATTTTTATTAAATCCTGTATTAAAAATAAAGGATGCTTCTGCACACAAATTTTAAAAATATTGTGTTTTCTTCTGGTACTTTTAAAGTTGTTTTTATTTGTTTAAATTCTTACTCACCTAAACCTAAACTTTATATGCTTCTAGTATATACTGTATTTTAAGCAAATAAGCATTATGATGACTATTTCAAGTTAGGAAGGTTATTAAAATTGCTGAATGACACTTTAAAATGTATATACATTTCAAATTGATTCTCCCAAAATAAGGATCCTCAAAAAATTTTTTTTTAAACAGGTATTGTCGGCAAGTGCTTTGTGAAACTGTTCGGACTGCCAAACTGACCCCAGTTTCTGCCCGGCTTCAAGATATTGAAGGAAAGATTGACAAATTTATTATTCCTAGGGAGGTAGGAAACATTTGGTATGCTTAACCCATTCAGTTATTCTTTTCAGCTCTTTTAGCGTGTATTTTTAAAGCTTTATTGTTTAAAGTATCCAGTAAATGCTACATATTGTTAAATAAAAGACAGTTGTTTTAAATTACAAAATAATATATGCTTGTCTTAAGGTTCAAACAACATAAAGGAAAGACTCCTTTCTCCCTAGGTACTACTGTGAATCGTTTAGTGTATATTTTGTAGGTTTTTTCCTGTGTATATGTACTACTCTATGTATATATACATATGTATGTATGTATGTATTTTAAAGACCTAATTTATATGTGAAAATACACTCTTTATATGTTGTTTTTAATTTTCTTCTTTTATTGAGGCAGTTAATACAACTGGCACTGTGGATCCAATTCATTATTTTTAATGGATGTATAGTACTGCATTGTATGAATGGACCATAATTTAAATAGTCCACATTGATGAAAATTTAGATTGACATTAATTTTTTTCATTACTACAAATTGCCTCTAAAAGGCAATTTATATTTTGAGCAGCAGTGTGTAAGAATGCTTTTCCTCTCCATAGTCTTTACCACCTCTGGATTTATGAATCTTTTATATATTATGTGAATCATATATGAAAAATTATCTCATAATTTTAATTTGCTTCCCCTGATAATTGGAGAGATTGAATAGCTTTTCATACATATACTCACAGTTTGTATTTCTTTTGTGAATTATTTTCTTTCTAGTGAGTTTATATGTCTTTTTGTAGATTATACATTATTAATTCTGTCAGTTACATGGCTAATCTTTTTTTTCTGTCGATTGTTTATCTTTTACTGGTTTTATGGTGTGTTTCATTTTTGTTGGATGCCGGTTTTAAATTTTCACATAGTGAAGTCTGTTATTCTTTGATGACTTCAGTGTTTAGTGACATGCTTAAGGGTACCTTCCCACTATGAGATCACCAAACTAATGGGCTGTGTTTCCTACTGTCATGTCGTACTTTTATAAGCTGGCTTTCTGGGCGTCATTTTGTCTCTGTTGGCCCTTTCATAACCAGAGTATCTTTTTTTTTGCAGACCCTTGTCCTGTACGCCCTTGGAGTCGTGCTTCAGGATCCCAGTACTTGGTCATCTCCATACAAGTAGGAAATTTCCGTCATTGTCTTTGCAGTTCTTAATCTTTATGTGTTTGCATGTTCTGTGGTTTTTCTGTTTTGAGGAGAAATTCAGTATGTAACAGTGATATAAAAACAGAAAGCCACCGCCTTCCCTGTATATCTTCTGCTCAATACTTTTTCTTTCATGAATCTGCTATCTTCTGCTCTTTCTTTCTCCTATCACCACTTCTGTCCCAAGATCTATTTAATTACTATTTAATTACTTAATCTCTACAATTATCCTTTAATTTCAGCGGTACTTTGGAGTTCTGTTACTGGTAAGTGGGTATTGCGTATGCAGTTTCTTCGTTTTCATTCTGTTGGTCTCAGTTATTGAGCTCTTTGGTTTAAATCAGAAAATAGGTGTTGTGTGTATATTGTGTGCAAAAACAGCAAGGGAGGGGAAAGGTGAAGAACAACGCTGATACTGTCTGCCTTCTCAGTGAAGTGAAGTGAAGTCGCTCAGTCGTGTCCGACTCTTTGCGACCCCATGGACTGTAGCCCACCAGGATCCTCAGTCCATGGGGTTTTCCAGGCAGGAGTACTGGAGTGGGTTGCCATTTCCTTCATCTGGTAAAATCTGCCTTAAAGAAGTAGGTTAAGATCCACTGGCCTGAGAGAAGGTGATATGTTGAGTTGGTGAGGGCTAAGACAGCTATGTGACAGGCAGGGGCAGAGTTGGTGGCATGGTTGAAGTAAAAGAAAAACCTACTTCCAGAGTATAAGGCAGAGACATTTCAGCATTAAGTCATTTTAGTTTTTCACGTTACAGTGATATTAAAGGGAAATCTATTAATAAATTAAATACCAGGACTTCAAAATCTGCTAAAAAATCAAGTAAATTTAATATTCCAAGGGGCTTTCATAGTAGAATGAAAGATATATGTTGGTAAAATAAAAATGTTATAACTTATAGTTATAAAAAATTAAAATTTCACATTTTAAAATCTTAAAAAAATTCTCGCGTGGAAAAATGCCAAATTTTTGGTCAACTTTTAGATGTAATACAACAAGCATAAGAACTTTGCTGGAATTTTTGACACTGTTCCTATCCTCAAAATACTCAGAGAATCAGGGCCACAGATTGAAGATACTGAAAGAAATATATGCTAAAATGTAGAAACCATTTTTAGGAATCAAATGCAGTCGAATTTAGGAAATGTTATAGCAATGTTGTATGCCGGAGAAGAGCTTTCTTCAGTTGGACACCTCATCCAGAGATTAAACTCTGGAGATTAAATCTCCAGAGATTAAATCTCTGGAAACTCCAGAGATTAATTTGTGTCAGTGCCTCAAGATGATCCTTGAGAGATCGCGTCACACTAGCCAAAATGTACATAGGACTGAAGTAGACCCTGTAGAGACAGACGATCGATTAATTACAATTTAAGTATAATTATCACACAGAGGAAGATGGAGAGATTGACTTTTTTCACTAAATTTAATGCTCTTGAGATCAACAAAGGGTGTTGCATATTTTTTATGGCTAAGTAGTAGTCAACATGTGCAGAGTTTGTTCAGCTTCTACCCATTGACTGACTAAAGGACATTTGGCTTGTTTCTAATATTTTGCTTATGTGAATAAAGCTCTTATGAACAGTTGTGTACAAGGTTTTGTGGGAACATGGCATTTCATTTCTTAGGAAAAATGCCAGAGTATGATTGGTTATACGGTTAGTGCATACTTAATTTCACAAGAAACTGCCAGACTATTTTTTATAGATTCTCAGCAGCAGTGTTTGAGAGATTTAGCTTCTCTGTAGCCTCAACAGCATTAGCTATTGTTTCTATTTTTTATTTTCGTTCTAATGGGTATGTGGTGATATTTCATTGTGGTTTTTATTAGTTTTCTTTTTGAGTAACTGACATTACCTTATTCTCCTTATAGAAAACTGTCTAGACATGATTTATTTATAGAGATAAATGCATTGTTGCTTTTATTGTATTGGCGGTGTCTCAGAGGAGGAAACCCTGAGTCAAATTCTGCGATTTAAATGGATAATAATGTAAATACTACTCTATAGCAAATAGTGGATATAATCAGCTTAGAAAAAAAAACCAGACTGAAATAGAATTCTCAACTAAAAAGAACTAAGGCAAACATTAAGATCCTTAGTATGGACTGAGACCAAGATGGTGATGCAGCAGGCTCGTGAGTTTCCTTCCTCACACAGATGCTCTGCGTGTAGAGCACTTCCCTCTGAGAAGAGCCCAGGCGCTAGCTCAGTGGCCCCTCCACATTCGGTAGATGAGGAAATACCCGCACTGAGGCAGGTGGGGAAGGCTGAGACACGTTCTTGCCACAAGCTCCACCCCCAGCACAGTGCCGTACAATCCGGAGGGAACATCCACCTCTCCCTTCTCCCTGAGGATCAGAGGCTTGGAACCACACAGTTTGTGCCCCACTTTTAAATGCTCCCGCCTGAGGGATGGGCTCCCAAAACATCTACTTCAGACGCCATCTGAGTTGCGCTCCCGAGTTGCCCAGGCCTGTAGCAAAGCAGCAGTCCTTAACGGGAGCATGTTGGGAGCACACGCGGTCACCATGGCTGTCCCCATAGGGCTCAGCACAGAGGGAACAGGCAGAAAAGCCTGTCTCCCAGGCTTTCCCTGCAAGGGGGTTGATTGCATACTTTACAAGCTGCTGCCTGAAGACCCAGCTGCTTCATGAGCATGCATTTAGAAATACTGGCTGTGATCCTCTCCAGAGCCTGCGGGAGCCAGTGGACACACGCCCAACCTTCTTCTAGTTCACTCCAACCATAAAACCAAGTTGCCAGCATCTCCCTTTCACACACATCGGGCGTCCCAGCTTTTGTGGCTGCCATCGAGGGAGGGATGTGCCCTCGTTAAGTGTTAACTGGCACGTCTTGCGTTCATAAGTCCCGCAGGATCATAGCAAACAAAGAAGCACATGTTAATGGGCGTGGAGGTACTGGCTGTGGTTAGCCCCCACACTTCGATGCAGAGGGAGCCGGCAAAATGCCTGTCTCCCAATCCTTCTCTAGGAGTTTGACTACATACCTAGAAAATTTAGTGTGTTTTCAAAATTCTGAAAACCTAGTACTTGGATAACACTCTCATTTGCTACATATTTTATAATCTTGTGTTGTAAATTGAGTTAAATTCATGATGGAAAATAAAATTGGGATTACCGCTTACCCTGAAAATAAACAAAATGAGTGTTACAGAAGTTTTTTAAAAAAACCTCAGTACTTGAGATTAAGTTACCTATTCATTTTCATTTTTTAATCCTTAAAATTGTGAGATATTTAACAAAATAGTTGGATGTCTCTGTGTCTTTTTTGGAGAAATATCTTTTTGGACCTTCTGCCCATTTTTTTATTGTGTTTGTTTTTTTGATATTGAGCTACATGGACTGTTTGTATATTTTGGAGATTAATCCCTTGTCAGTCACATCATTTGCTAACATTTCATCCCATTCTGTGTGTTGTCTTTTCACTTTGTTTATGGTTTTCTTTTCGCTGTGCAAAAAAAGCTTTTAGGTTTAACTAGGTCCTATTTGTTAGTTTTTGCTTTTATTTTCATTACTTTAGGAGGTGAATGCAAAATGATATTGTTGTGGTTTATGTCAAGGAGTGTTCTTCTGCCTGTGTTCTCCTATAAGAGTTTTATGGTATCTGGTCTTACCTTTATATTTTTAATCCATCCTCAGTTTGTTTATGTGGATGGTGTTAGAGAATGTTCTAATTTCATTCTTTTAACTGTAGCTGTCCAGTTTTGGACACCACTTATTGAGATTGTCTGTTCTCCACTGTATAATCTTGCCTCCTTTATCGTAGCTTAGTTGACCATAGGTGTGTGGGTTTATTTCTAGGCTTCCCATTGATCTCTGTCTTCATGCCAAAATCATACTGTTTTGATCACTGTAGCTTTATAGTACAGAATGAAGTCAGGGAGCCTGATTCCTCCAGCTCTGTTTTTCTTTCTCAATATTGCTTTGGCCATTTGGGGTCTTTTGTGTTTCCATACAAATTTTAAGTTTTTTTGTTTTAGATCAGCAAGAAATGCCATTGATAATTTGATAGGGATTGTGTTGAATCTGCAGATTACCTTGTGTAATATAGTCATTTTGACAGTGTTATTCTTTCAGTCCAAGAACATGGTATATCATTTCATCTGTGCCATCTTCAATTTCTTTCATCAGTGTCTTATAAGTTTTGGAGTATCGGTTTTTCACCTTCTTAGGTAGGTTTATTCCTAGGTATTTTATTCTTTTTGATGTGATGGTAAATAATATTGTTTCCTTAGTTTCTCTTTTTTCCTCTTTAGTTGTTAGTGAATATGGCTTAAAACATATGAAAGATGCTCAGCATTGCCAATTATTAGAGAAATGCAGATCAAAACTACAGTGAGGTATCACCTCACACTGGTCAGAATGGCCATCATCAAAAAATCTACAAGCAGTAAATGCTAGAGTGTGGAGAAAAGGGAACCCTTCTACACAGTTGATAGGAATGTAAATTGCTACAGCAACTATGGAAAATAGTATGGAGGTTTCTTAAGAATCTAAAAGTCAAGCTACCATATGATCCATCAGTCCCACTCCTGGGCACACATCTGGGGAAAACCATAATTCAGAAAGATACATGGACTCCAGTGTTCATTGGAACACTATTTACAATAGTCAAGTCATGGCATCATCCTGTGTTTCTCAATAGAGAAATGGTTAAAGACAATGTGATACGTATATATAATGGAATATGCTGTTGTTTAGTCGTGAAGTTGTACCTTACTCTCTTGCAACCCCATGGACTGTAGCCCACTAGGCTTCTCCGAATCTTCCCGACCCAGGGATTGAACTTGTGTGGGTTCTTTACCACTGAGCCACCAGGAAAGCTGCAATGGAATATTACTCAGCCATAAAAGAGCATGAAATAAGCCCATTTGCAGCAACGTGGATGGACCTAGAGATTATCATACTAAGTGAAGTAAGTCAGATACAGAAAGACAAGTATCACATGATATCACTTATGTGTGGACTCTGAAAGAGTGATGCAAATGAGCTTATTTGCAAAACAGAGACAGACTCACAGATTTACAAAACTTTCAGTTACCAAAGGGGAAAAGTGGGAGTGAGGGATAAATTAGGAGATTTGGATCAAGATATACACACTACTATATATAAAATAGATCATCAACAAGGACCAACTGTATAGCACAGGGGACTCTACTCAATATTCTGTAATAACCTAATGGGAAAGAAACCAGAAAAAGAATAGATCTGTGTGTATGTATAACTGAATCATTTTGCTGTTCACTTGAAATAAATGCATCATTGTAAACCAACTATATTCCAATATAAAATTTAAAAAAAATTTTAAGTTGGGAAAATCTAGTTTCATTTTCTTTTAACCTGGAAACATAGATATCTTCAAGTAAACAGTTAGGGTCCCAAGTTTCAAGTTAGTTTACAAAAGGGAAAAGCTGATTATATTTGATATAATTTTTCTATAGACTCTAATGTAAATAGAGTATATCTCAAAAGTAAAAGATAATTTACACTGTTTAAAAAGACTATGAAAGCAAAATAATTTTTTTCTCATAGTAGAGTTTAGATCTTTTAAAAACATTTGTTTTTGAGGGGAATTTTTTTTTTTTTTTCCTGGGCTCTTGCTCTTGAGTGATGTTGGAGACCTGAATGAGCGCCATGCAGAGCGACTGGCTGACTTCAGCTCCATTTCTGTTGGCATTAAGTCTTTGTCTTGAGGGGAATGTTCATGCTCCTCGGTGGGTTGACTTCCATGGTGGCTCAGAGAGTAAAGCATCTGTCTACAATGTGTGAGACCTGGGTTCGATCCCTGGGTAGGGAAGATCTCCTGGAGAAGGAAATGGCAACCCACTCCAGTACTCTTGCCTGGAAAATCCCATGGACGGAGGAGCCTGGTAGGCTACCGTCCATGGGGTCACAAAGAGTTGGACACGACTGAGCAACTTCACAAGTTACAAGTTGGTGGGTTGATTATTTTGTTTTAATATATCCATTTCCCCATGACTCTTTACAGACTAAAACTTTTTTCTGTATGGTAAAAACATCCTTGGTGATGGTGGTTTAGTCGCTAGGTCGTGTCCAACTCTTCCAATCCTGTGGACTGTAGCCCGCCAGCCTCCTCTGTCCATGGGATTCTCCAGGCAAGGATACTGGAGTGAGTTGCCATTTCCTTTACCAGGAGATCTTCCCGAGCCAGGAATTGAACCTGGGTCTCCTGCATTGCAGGCAGATGACTTACCAACATTTCCTTCACTTATTAATAAGTCTGGGCCTCATGTAATATAATTTTGATGTGTATAATTTTAAGTCTGGTGACTTCAATTTTAAGAAATGAAATTTAATTGAAAAGGCAATTTAAAATGCTTTGCATATTGATTCAATGGTCTCATGTAACATATTTTGAACACTGTTAATGTAAATACTCACTATGTGATTTTGTGTGATTTATCCTTAAATCTCATAAATGATATAAGTGCCTGTTACGCTTTTATTCCTTGATCGTTCTAGAGAAATGTATTTTGCACCTATTGTTTAGAAATAATAAAGTAAGCAAAAAGAGACACATGTGCAGTAGTTTAGAAATATAAAAGGTCAAAATGAAATATAATGTAAAAAAAAAGAAATATAATGTGCCAGCAGTTTCTATCTTTAGTAGTTTTTACACGGTGTTACACGCCTGTGTTCTTACAGTGTCAACATGTGCCATGTCGGTGGAGCTCTGTTTGACCAGCCCCAAATCTTCTCTTTAGGTTTTGTCCAGAGCGTTTCGATGATGAGTCTGCAATGAGAACTTTCTGCTTGCTTGGATTTTCAGGCACACGGGAATGCCCAGAGCTGAGGTGAGATGATAAAGGAACATGAAAGATGTCAGACTTTGCACTTAAAATGTTGCCGATCACTGTCGATGAGAATGAACAATCCGTATAAGTTGTATAAACTAAATTTAGACATGAAATTGTATAAATAATCGTTGGTCTTCAGTAACCCGTCACTCTCTCCCTGACCAGGTTTGCCTACATGGCGGCCACCGTGCTTCTGAGTGTTCTGCTGAGGAGGCTGCAGCTGCTTTCTGTGCAGGGACAAGTTATTGAAACAAAGTATGAACTGGTGACATCATCCAAAGAGGAAGCCTGGATCACTGTCTCAAAGAGATATTAAAATCGGATGCATTTAACTTTGTTGAAGAAAATGATCATTTAGAAAATCTGTATCGAATCCTTTTAGAAACCAAGCATCATTGTGTAAAATAAACACCTGTTAATACTTCATCATGTAAATTCGGATTTTTGTATACCGGAATTTCTTGATGCACCATATACACATATATTCATTGCATCAGTATAGTGATCATTTTAATGGGAGGCCTTCTGCTTTTAACTTTTGTCTTATCACTTTCTATGCCATTATTTTTATTTTCTTAGCCTTAGTTTGACTTCTAAAATTAATATTCTTGAAGATAAATTATTTTGCACAGTAATATTTTCCAAATATTCATAAAAAAGAAAAATAATATTAACTCCTTTTCATAGTTACAGTAAATCACCTTAAAGGGGGGAAAAAGGATTTTTCATAATTTTATTTATTGGATTAATGTTTTTATTTTCCAAGTATAAATTAATTTGTGTTTAATTTTTGTTATTAGGCTTGAGTAATTCAGTGAATAACATATCTTGTATTTGCTATTGTTGTGCCTTCCCAGACAACAGTGTTCATTTCATGACTTATACATTGCTCATCATTTTGAACAGTTCTGAATCATTTGGAAAATTATATAGTTGTTTTTAAATGTATTTTGTAATGTCTCTCCTAAGTAGCAAACCAAGAATGAGGCTTGTCTGTCCATTTTTGCTGAAAGTCTTAGTAGCACTATATTATTCCACTAATTCTCATTTGTGGAAAAAGCAATTCCTAAATTTATTTATTATGTTATATCCTAACCATAATGAACTTATGATTAAGAAATGAGAGAACATTAACAAAAAACCAAACCAAGTTTTAAAAAAAGAAAACAAATATGGGTGAAAATATTTGCAATATATATGACAGAAAGAGATAATATCCCATATTACATATAAAAAGCTCATACAAAAAAAAAAAGCTCATACAAGTTGGCAAGAAAACATGCAGTAGATAAATGGACAAAACAGCTTCTACTGGGAAACAGCGAATAAGCATTTAGAAAAATGATCAATCTCATTAGTAAGAATTAGTAAGCAGTACTTCTTTATTGGAGCTTTTTCAAAAATATTTGAAGTATTGTTCCAGATTTACATTTTAGTACTGAAAGTTTTATATTTAATACTTTTTTATTGACAGCATTGTATTTTAGTTTTGCTTTTTTTTTTCTGGTTATATTGTTCTTGAAGAATTTCTTTTAAATATGTTTTTTAAAAAGATAACTGGAGCCCATTATACAGAGTAAAGTAAGCCAGAAAGATAAACACCAATACAGTATACTAACACATAATATGGAATTTAGAAAGATGGTAACAATAACCCTATATACAAGACAGAAAAAGAGACACAGATGTAAAGAACAGACTTTTGGACTCTATGGGAGAAGGCGAGGGTGGGATGATCTGAGAGAACAGCATCGAGACATGTATATTATCAATTGTGAAACAGATCACCAGTCCAGGTTGGATGCATGAGACAAGTGCTTGGGGCTGGTGCACTGGGATGACCCAGAGGGATGGGATGGGGAGGGAGGTGGGAGGGGGGATCGGGATGGGGAACACATGTAAATCCAAGGCTGATTCATGTCAATGTATGGCAAAAACCATTACAATATTGTAAAGTAATTAGCCTCCAACTAATAAAAATAAATGGAAATTAAAATAAAATAAACTATAACAGACTTTTTAAATTAAAAAAAAGATAACTGTGAAGGAAATATGCCAAGTTCCAATAGAGAGGAAAGGAAGAACAATGATAAATGTTTGCAAATGGACTTATTGACACTGCTGAATTTCTCTTGTAATTTTAAGTTAAAGAGTCATTTTATGCTGTGTTTATGGTTATGTGGTTAACATTTCAGGCCTAATAATGAGTAGTTAAACATAGAAACTAAGTAATAACTAGATGCTGCCTTCTGTCAAAAATATTTAATTTATGGAATAATTTAAATTTGGAAACTTTAAATGAAATGTAGTCCTAGATCCTAGCATCATGTTGTTTCAGTGAAGGCATGTTTTAAATTTATTTCCTCTCACCTTCATATTCTATGGCTTAGTGTATACAGAGCATCTTCCTTTATTATCTAAGTACCTTATTTTGCTTTGAAAATGGCAATGGAAGGTTAGAGGAGGCAGATGATATATAAGCCAAATGTCATTAAAATCAGGTAAGTGGAATTCTAAGTGAGGTGAGATCAGCAACAACAGGGAGAGTCAGGGTGTTGCCATATTGCCAATAAATGAAAAGAAACTGTTTAATAATGATTGGATTTGAGGAAAATAGAGGATAGAAGAATCAGGTACATAAGCATACTTTATCCAGGGTTACGTAACTAATTTGCAACATTAAAAATCAGTCCTATAAGATTTTTAAAAAATACTCTTTATCATGTGTAAAATAAGTTATCCATTCACCGTTGTTCTTGGCCCTTTGTATTTGTCAAGTGACCTAAATTTTATTAGCCTCAGTATCACTGATGCTTGTGGCTTGCCTCTGGCCGGACTCTCAAGTTTTATAGTTTTTTTAGCTTTTTAAAATCTATCTCTTCACTGATTTTGATCTGCATTCTTTTTGATAGTTCAGAAGTTTATTTTTAAAAACATCAACACAACACATTTCTTATGGCATGAAAGGGCTCTTCCATACTTTGTGCTTATAAAATTCAAAACAGTTCTGGGCATGTGTTTGGGGAAAAAGAAAAACACATGTTGTCTGGCCCACAAATGTGCAGTTTTATTTATATGTATATAAATAGATTCTATCTTAATAGATCTAATATCAAAATTTCATTTGTTTCCTTTGTATTAAAATAGTTTGTACTTTAAAGATAAAATGTTCTGTTTTTATTAGAAAAATTATATGGGTTATTGTAGAAAAATCTAGGAAATACAGAAGTACAAAAATAGGGAACTCCATCCCCACTATTTGAACTTGAGTGTTCAGCTTCTGAGGTTAATCTTTCTACTCTTTTATCCACATACACTTTTCACAAATACACCTAAAGTTCTCTCATTTAATATGTTATGAACCAGTAGCATTTTCTATAACTGAAACATTACTGTTCTCACTCAGAAGTAAATACAGACTTGCCAATTTTTTCTTCCCCTCTTTCTCTTCTCAGATATTGTTATTCTTTTCAGCTTTAAAAATGGCCTTACTTCTCCATCCATTCTATCAAAACAGTTATATATATTAATAAACTCAAGCTGCTAAAGTCAAAACATAATGTAGGTACTACAGTGAGCACTTAAAAAATGTAATTGCTCCACTAGCCTAAGAAAAATTTTTGATATAATTAAGTTGAAATTGGGGTGGCATTTTACCTTTTAAGAGGACATTTTAAGAATCTTTGTTGTCATTTTTGGACTCTGAGGGAAACATTAACGTTCTCTGAAGACATCTTGATTTTTTTTCTTCAGATCCATAAAAAGTACTGTCTCCTGTTATAAAATGTACTTTTTTTTTTTTAACGTGGTTATGTTGACAGATTGAAAATTGCTTAAAAAAGCGTAATTCTACTGAGTGTATAAAAGTGAAGACATGGCCAGTAGAATCAAGAAGTCGTTCGGGAGCTGTGAGAAGACAGCTGCAAGAGAAATGGACGCTATTTCAAGGGTGGGTTTCGATGATGTCAACAAACTGATGCCAGTGACCTGGTTTTCTCCTTTGCCAGTCCTCTGCCTGCTTCCCAAGCTGCTAAGACCAGCGATGAAGGTAGAAGGGGAGGAGTGGGGGGAGACTGTCAACAAAGCTGGTACTGTTACCGCGGAAGCCAGAGGACCGCACGGCCAGAAGGGCTCCGGACAGTGTTGCTTTGAGTGTGGTGACTGACGTGCCCTGATAGAAAGGAGCGAGACGGAAACTTGCTGAAAGTAGAACATGGGGCTGGAGAAAGCGTGTGTTACCAACCAGCCTCTTTATATACCCATCTCATTTAGTCTTTAGAACATGACTGTAGGTGCTGCTGGGACTAACTTGAGGTGGATGAACCTAGAGCCTATTATACAGAGTGAAGTAAGAGAAAATCAAATATTGTATATTAATGCATGCATATGGAGTCTAGAAAGATGTTACTGATGAACCAATGTGCAGGGCAGCAATGGAGACACATGTAGAGAACAGCGTGTGGACACAGTGGGGGATGGAGTGGCTGGGATGAATTGAGAGAATGGCATGGGAACATATCCGCTACCACGTGTAAAACAGACAGCACGTGGGAATTCCCTGTGTGACGGGGCTCAGCCCACTGCTGTGTGCCAGTGCAGAGGGGCGGGATTGGTGAGAGATGGGAGGTGTGCTCTGGAGGGAGAGGATGTGGGCAGGGGGCTGATGCTTGCTGATGATGTGTGGCAGAGGCCAACACAATAGTGTAAAGCAGTTGTCCTCCAATCAAAAAATATTGAGAAAGAAGAATGGAACTGGAGGAATCAACCTGCCTGACTTCAGACTATACTACAAAGCCACAGTCATCAAGACAGTATGGTACTGGCACAGAGACAGAAATATAGATCAATGGAACAGAATAGAAAGCCCAGAGATAAATCCACGAACCTATGGTCACCTTATCTTCGACAAAGGAGGCAAGGATATACAATGGAAAAAAGA